CCAGGCCCTGGGAAGGGCAGGAGCCCCACAGTCCCCCCCCCCCCCAGAGGGTCGACAGAGCAGGCAGCAAGAGGCTGAGGGGAAGAGATGGGCGGGAAATGGAAAAGAGGCAGGAAAATGCCCTGCACACAGTAGGTACTCAACATGAATGGGAGATTAAAAGTATTTGGACAGAAGGAAGGCACATCGCAATCCCCAATGCCAGCACCAAGTGTCCTGTGATTGGGACAAATTCCCGACTCTCTGAGCCTCAGTGTCCTCATCTGTACAAAGGGGCTAAAAACATCAGCCTTGCAAAGCTGCCCTGAGAGTTAAACAACAACATAGGCAACGATAATAATAGCTAAAAGCTGATGTGTGTTTAGCATTCACTCTGAGCCAGGCACTGCTCTAAGCACTCTAGAAGGAACACTGGAGCCCCGACAATGACCCTAAGGGACAGGCATTATTGTGACCCCATTTTACAAAGCAGGAAATTGAGGCATTGGGAAATTAAGTGACTTGCCCAAAGCTCCACAGTAGCAAGTGACAGAGCTGGGATTTGAGCCCATGCAGATGGCTCCAAAGCCTGCTCTTTCCCACCTTACCATGACACTGCCCCAGGACACACAGGAGTGGCCCCACCCAGGCACCACTGGGGTCTCACCTCCCTCTCTGCCTGTCCACCTCTTCTCTCTCAGTCCACCACCCCCGCTCCCACCCCAATCTGTGTTCTTCTCCCATCTCTCTCCTCCCTAGGAACAGCGTGGGCAGCAGAGGTGGCCCACGTGATCATGGGGCCAGGGCAGAGGCCAAGACAGAGCCTCCTGCTCCCTCTGCTGCATCCTGGCGCCCCCTGGACAGCAGCCAGGACCCCCACTACAGGCCTAAGCTAGAGGAAGGGAGGAAGGGCCGAGGCAAGCAGGAAGGGAGGCGCCTCCATCCCTTCCCCCAGAAGCACGTCCTGCACAGGCAGAAACAATGTCGCACTGGCCCACTGCCGGGGCTGAGGGTGGGGGCAGGGGCCTGGACACTGGCCTGGCCAAGCTGCTTTCAGGAAGCAGGAGGCCCCTGGTCTTGCTCTGCCTTGATTTGTTGTATGACCTGTCCCTCTGCACCCAGCACCCGCACATTCTAGCTCCAATATTCAGTGCTTCCTAAGCCCTTTCCAAAACCCAAGTCTCATCAGATCACCACGGACATGGCCCTGGTACTTCCCAGCTGTGTGACCTTGGGCAAGTTGCTTAACCTCTCTGAGCCTCAGTTTCCTCCTCTTTAAAACAAGGATACTCATAATAATGCTTATTCCCAGAACAGAGAGAATGCTGTAAAGCAGCCAACAGCTAGCCTTGCATTTAATAACAGCCAAAGCCTCCCAGGCTTCCCAGAGTGTACCGGCCAACTTTCCCAGCCTGGCTCATGAGGCCCACCATGCCTCAGCCCATCCTCAACTTCCACCTTTCCTCCTTTCCTCCTCACCTCTCCTCTCCTGTCACTGCAGTTACCGCCAAACTCCAGACCCCTCCCTGGACAGCCTTTGCCCGTCCCCTCTTCCACGGCCACTCTCCCTACCTGCTCCCTCTCCATGGCCACATTGAGTCCAAAGGCCACGTTCTCAGCATGGCCCTCCCTATCTATCCCCCACCCCTCCTTAGAACCACTGGCAAGTGAGAAGAGGGGCAGCTCCTCAGCCAACACTAACAGGTCACGTTGCCTTCAGTGCACTCTGTGCTAATGTGTGTCGTGACTCCTGCTATGGGCGTGTGGCCGGCCTGACTACAGGGGCTCCCGTGGTGGCCAAGCCCCACCCACAGCAGGAAAGTTAGCTGAACGGCTCAGAGCTGGGGAGGACCAGCAAGCAAGATGTTGGGACAAGCACAGCCTATGAGTAAAATCTATCATTTGATAAGCACCTACTGCATGCCTGACAGAGCTGGGTGCTTTACTTATATAAGCCACGGACATCAAAACCCCTACATGCAGAAGACAGCATCATCCCCCCTTAGCCACTAAAGAAACTGAGGCCCAGAGAAGTGAAATGACCAAGCCAAGTCACACAGATGATTAACAGTGGTGACAGGATTCAATCTAAGTTCTGCCAGTGCCTGAAGACCTTACTGTTTCAGGAGTTGCAGGAAGCACGGGCTTACCCTGCTCCCTCCCGCCTCATCCCTGCTCACCCTCTCACGCAATCTGAGACCCAGCCCGCCCCCCTCACCCCCACTCCACCCACCCCAGGCAGCTGAGGTACCTGTTGAGAAGGTCCAGGCCACAGCCCCGAGGCAGGAGGCCTTCCGGCTTTCCCAAAGGCCACACACTGTCAGAGGATGAGGACGAGGAGAGGCCGGGGGACCAGGGCTTAAGTGTCACACTCCCTAGGGAGGAAGAGTAAGGTTCAGGGATTGGGACTGGGAAATAGGTATGGTCAAGGCTCATGAGAGGCTGAGCCCCCCTCGAGCCCAGGGATGTGCAGGTTTGAGGCCCCAGGAGCACATGGTACCCACTAGGCTCAGAGCTGGACCAGGGCACACTAGGGCAATCCTTCAGTTTCCTGGAAGAGGGAGAGAGTGGGCTGGAACTGAGAAGCCCATTGCAGCACAGCCAGGAATGGCAGTGAGGGCCGGGACTGGGCTCAGGGTAAGAGGCCTGAACCAAATCCCACAGGGGCCTCCCAAGCAGAGCCTTCCTTCCCAGCCAGGGGCATGGTGTGGTCTTAAGGAAGGGCACACAGGCCAAGGGCAGCAGTGAGGGCCGGGACTGGGCTCAGGGTAAGAGGCCTGAACCAAATCCCACAGGGGCCTCCCAAGCATAGCCTTCCTTCCCAGCCAGGGGCATGGTGTGGTCTTAAGGAAGGGCACACAGGCCAAGGGCAGAGTCTCAAGTGGGCTGCAAAGCCACTCCCCCAGATAAGCCTCCCCTGGAGCTCCTGAGGGCTGTTACCTGTAATGTCCGACATGCTGCTGAAGGACCTGGGTCGGGGGAGAGGGGGCAGGAGATGAGGCACAGTGCGCACTCGGCCCCACTCCCTCCTCCTGCCCCCAGGCTACCAGAAGGTCCCACAGCCCCCAAGCAAATTCAGGCCAGACCTAATGCAGAGGCCCCAGCACAGGGCACCTGTGCCACCCAGTGCCCCTAAACTCACAGGGCAAGAAGTTAACATCCTGGCCTTTGCCATGTGTTGTTCCACCTCCAATGCCCTGGCCTGTCCTTGTAAGGTAGCTCCTTCAATGCCACCTCCTCCTGGAAGCCTCCCCTGACTTCTCACCCCTCATCTCCCCCTCACTGGCTATAGTCGTCGTTGGTGGCTCCCGGACATGCCTCCCAAGTTAGACCCTGACTTCCCCATGCCACGCCTTGTCATGGCGGATCACTCAGACCAAGCCTCCCAGTGCCAGTCTCTAAAGGAATAGGTCAAGGACCACCTCCGGGGTGGAGGCAGGGTTCCTCTCACCCTTGGTCTTGCCTCCAGTGGACATGGCTTGGTTTTTCTGGCCCATGTTTGCTGCTGATGCCCCAACAGGGGGACCAGCTTTCTCAACTGAGGTCTGTGACCCCTTGGAATATTCTCTGCACCCCCGAGTCCTGAACCATCAGGCTTCCTCTTGGGTTTAGGATCTTCAAGGCTTGACCTCCTGTGACGTTCCTGCAGGATGCCTGGCTGGGGCTAAATCCACTCTGCCCTTTGCCCTTGTCTTAACCTCAACCTTGCTGACTCCTATGACCCACTGGGCCTGGCTTTCCAGAGCTCTAGCTGCTCTAGGGCAGTAAAGGGAAGGGATGGCCGGGACCTGACCCTGGCGTCACGGATTCTGGGAGGCGGCTGTCAGGAGATAGCAGCCCACCTCCCTGGGCCTCTCCTGCTATCTCCCAGCTTGTGTACCTCTTAGGGGGTGCGGGGTCCTCCTCACGCTGCCGGCGGAGGATGGAGCCAGCGCTCGGGGGGAAGGGCAGGATGGAGAGCCGGTTGATCTCCTTCTCGCTGTCTATGGCCTCCTCCTACAACGCCATGACAGGGCCTGGGTCACCCCCACTGCCCAGCACCTTCCCAGACCTCAACACACCTAATTTGTGCCCATTCCACAGAAGAGACTGAGGGTCCGCAGCAGAGCAGTAGGCTCTGCAAGATTACAGTGTATGAGTGGCTCCCCAGGTCTCCTGGCACCAACAGGCCCAGAACCAGCACCAGCACCAAACTGGCTCTGGGTGAGCTTAAATAAGGCACTTGGCCTCCCTGGGCCTCAGCGTCCTCACCTGTGAAATGGAACCACTGGCAAACTGGAAAGTATTCTACATGTTAGTAATTATATGACTACAAATATTATTGGCATCCCCCCATATTTGGTGTGGGGTGGGTGTCTTACCGAGGTGTGGGGCTCAGATCCCCCCATGACAGCTGCCTCCCCAGCTGCTTCCAGGCCTCCCAGTGGGGAGGGGAACTCGCTCAGGCTCCAGGTGCTGCTGAGGTTGGAGCACAGAGAATGGGAGGAGGCACAGGCCTAGAAGAAGAAGTGGGGGGGTGAGCACTGCTGAGCCCAGGCCAGCCACAATCACATGCTGAGCACCCACCATATGCCAGGCACAGGGAAAGAGCTGGAGCACAAGAGCCAGACCCCTACCCTCACGGAGCTCACAGCCTACAGGAGAGCACAAAGTGTAAACCAGCCAACAGATGAACAAAATAACCCCAAGTTGCAATTACAGCAAAAGGAAGGTGTCCCAGGCATGGGAAGTACTTGAAGGCCCCACACAGCTTGGAGGCACGAGAACTCAAGCATATGTAGGTGCTAAGTAGGGACAGTTGGGGAAGATGGTCCAGACAGCTGGAACAGCATGAGCAAAGGCCCAGTGGCAGGACTGTGGCACATTCCAGAAATTTAAAAGCCGAGAACCATAGAACCAGGCTTAAGGGAGGCGGGACCCAACCTGCAGGGCCTCTTGGGCATGATAAGGGGCTCTGTCTTTACATGAGAGCAAAAAAGCCACTGAGGGTTTTAAAAAGTGAGAAATCAGATTCATGCTTCCTTCTTCTATCCTCCCAGGCCTCCTGAGCTCACATTTAAGCAAACCAAGATAAAAAAAAAAAAAAAGGCAAAGCTCCTGGCAGCAGCCTGAGGACTAGCGTCTGACTTATAAAAGATCTGGGGGCCCAGCTCCAGTGCTGGCTGTCTGTGTGACCTTGGGCAAGCCCCTGACCCTCTCCAGGCCCTGTGCAATGGAGGGGATGAGACCTGCTGGTTTACGAGGGGCTTTTAGATGTTAGACTAGACTAGCTGGTCTCTGAGACCCATGTTTTACATTTCAAGATGTTTGGAGGCCCTTGGGCAGCCAGACTTCCCCAAGTGTATACAAAACCAGGCTTCGAACTGTTCTGGTGTTCCAGGAGCAACCCCAGAAACTCATACATGCCCCCATCCCACTCACCAACCCACCCCCTACCCCCAGCCTGGGTTCAAGTGTTCCCACCCCCAGCAGAGGCTCTTGCTAATTCCCCCATGATCCCACCCCTGGCTGAGGTTTCCCTCCAGGTCCAGCATGTTCCCAGCCCTAGCCAAGAGCTCCTGCCAGGAACCCAGCCTGTCCACCAGGACCGTGGACCCTGACCCGGCTCACCCTGAGGCAGGAACCGCCCTGGACCCTCTGCAGCTGTGCTTCCAGAAGGGCTTTGGCACCCTCCAGGCCGGTGAGTGTGGTCAGTAGTTCATCCCGCTCGGCCTCCAGGCCCCGCACCTGCTTGCGGTACTGGTCCTTCTCGATGAGGCTCTGGGAGTACTGCAGCTGAATCCGGTCACGGCTCTGGATGGCCTGGGGAGAGCAGGTGGGGAGCCAGCAGCTGAGGAAGCTGCAACAGCTCCTTGGTGCTGGCCTCGGACTTCGAGAAGCGGCATGCAACAAGAACGACAGCACTTCCTGGGTGCTGGGCCCTGTGCTACATATCAGCTCATTTGATTGTCACACTAACTTAGATACTGTCATTATTCTTATTTTGCAGGTGGAGAAACCAAGCCAGAAGGGACATAGCTGAGATTCACACCAGGCAGTCCAGTTGCAGAGCCCAGGCTGTCACTGTTTCACTAAGAACAACTTAAAACTCTTCCATGAGATCTGCCACGTGCCAGGGGCTTCATTTACCGCATCCCAATTAGTGGATAAGCAAGAGTGAAACCCAGTCCACTGTATCCACAGCACTTCTCCCCACAGTGAAGATCAGCATCACCGAGAGGGCCCAAAGCCCAACCTGCCACTCACTGCCTTGGAGGGAGCTGGGGGCAGGCTGGTGAAATGCAGATTCTGAGGCTTTGCCCCAGACCACCTGAATCAGAATATCCAGGGATGACACCCCAATCTGCACAGTCACCAAGTCCACCAGAGGGATTATGAGTCCCGTTCTAATGTATAGACTCCAACTCCTCTAACTTCAGACTTGCTCAAGAACAAAAACCTCCTGCCCTCCCCCCTACATGGGAAGCCTCACTCAAGGAGAGCTGGGGGACTGGCCCAGGGTCCTCAGCCCACCCCATGGCCTTGGCAGGAGACAAGGGCCATAGTACCCAGGGACTGGGAGCCAAAACTTTTGAGAATGTCTTCATCAGCAAATATTTGCAAGCATCTCCCCTGTGTCAGCCTTGCGCTTGATATGGAGAGAAGGGATTCAGAAATGAAGGATGCCAGGACCAACTTTCCTGACTGTCCTGGGAGTTCGGGTGAAGCAAGTGGGCTCAGGGTGTAAGGTTGGTATCTGGAGTGCTCAAGGTCCGTGTCTGTGGCCCCCCAGCCTACCTGCCCCATCCTAAATCCATCAGTGCACTCTTAAAATCTCTTTTACAATTCTAGTCCTGTCTGTTTCTCTTCATCTCCCCCAAACGAGAACCAGTGGCTGGACCAGGGCCTCGCGCACAGCAGCCTGAGCTCACCTGGTCCCGCTCCTTCTCAATCTCCTCCAGCTGGGCCAGGACAGTGGCCATGCGGTGCTTGTACAGGTCACAGTCCTTCTGCAGTGTGCGGTGCTTTAGCCGCAGGTCCTCCATCTCTTGCAGGTACTGTGGGTGGGGCGGGCTGAGCTCAGACCACAGGGTTGAGGACCCAGGGCAGGGGAGCTACCCAGCAGGTGTCCAGCAAGTGCAGTGAGAGAAACGTGAGCCCCAATAACAAGTGCCCACCTCCCCAGCAGGGTGGTCTGGGCCACTGACTTGACCTCACTGGGCCTCAGCTGCCTAATCTGTAAAATGGGAATAACGATAATCATGACACCACCTGGCCAAACTTGGCCTCCCCATTGAAACTACAACCTGCCCCCTTACCCTGCTCTGCTTCTTCCTCAGAACGAATCACCTTCTGCCACATGAAATAACTGACTTAGGGTTAGGTGCAGGGCGCGCTGTTGTCTCCCCAGCGAGAATGCCCCCTCCACAGCAGCAGCACATTTGTTTTGTTCACTGATGTGTCTGAAGCATCTAGAAGGGCTCCTCCATCAGTATTTGAGAACGAATGCCTGCACTGTTCTTAGCACAGTGCTGCACATAGTAGGTACTCGGGGAAGGCCGGCTGAAGTAAACTAGTCAGGCCTGACAACCTCCCAGCCCCAAGATCTGGGCATTAGCAGAAGGTGGTTAAGAAGGGTGGGACTTGCCAGTTAGCTCAGTTTGTACAGCCTGGTGCTGACAACACCAAGGTCAAGGGTTCAGATCCTGTACTGGCCAGACACAAAAAACAAACCAAAAAAACAAGGGTGGGGGCTGGGGAGGCAGGGGAGGAGGGCACCACCTTGTCCCGCAGCTCCTCGGCCCACTGCAGCTCGCCCTGCACGGCATGCAGCTTCTGGCACAGCTCCTGCCTGCTGTCCTGTGCCTCCCGCCAGTCGTGCTCCAGGATGTCCAGGAGGATGCGCTCAGAACCCGGGGCCCCTGGCCGGCTTGCCTCCTGGGGATCAGAGTTCAGGGCAGCCTCAGCATCTGGCCCAGGGCCCACCCTGAGTGTGGGGAGGAAGAGGGACACGCAGCTCTCAGCCCTCGGAACCCACCTTATCAGCTCTGCCATCTCAGCCTAGGGCCTTGACCTCCCTGGATCTGGGTTTCCCATCTGTGAAGCAGGCGTGGCCCCACCAGCCCTACCCACCCTCCAGGGAGCATCTGGGGTATAAAGGAGGTAAGTTGATGAGGGTGTGCTTGATTAAGTTCAGCCAGGATCTTATTCCTAAATAAGAACTAGGTCCACTCTCTCTTGCACAGGACTCCCGCCCCTGCCCAGGGCAGCAAACTGGTGGCTATTTCCAAGGCCCATTCCTACCCTTCTGACAAGGGGTCTTCAAGGGGCTGACTCTGGCCCAGGCAGGTGGACCCTAGGCCTAAGATGCAGCCCCCAGACCCACACCCCAGCCCAGCATTCCCAATGAGCTCCGCTGGCTCCCCTCCCCCACTTCCTGTGTGGAACAATGGCCAGAAGGCAGGCCACACCACCACTGACCTGCCATGGGACACCAAGAAAGTCCCAGGGCCACCCAGACATCAAGGGTCTCAACTTTTTCAGGGGCAGGAATTCTACAAATCCAAGGAAAGCTGGAGACCCTCTCCCAAGAAAAATGCTCACACATAAAATCCAGTGCACAGATTCAGGGAGTTCAGAGACCTCCTGGAGGCCACCCACAGACCCCAGATTAAACACCCAGGGAGAGCCATGTGCTAACCCTCAGCCCAGAGCTTCAGACAAGAGCTAGCCAGGATTCCATCTAGAGCTCGGATCCCCGGTTCTAAAATCCTTAGCCTCCCAGGCCTCGGGAAGACAAGCAAGGAGCAGGAGGGTCTGCTTGCCCAGTCTGATCCTGCCCACATGGCCACCAGCACCGGCCCTCGTACCTGCTGCAGGGCCTCCTGCAGCTCCTGCAGCGATGCCGCCAGCCGCTGGTTCTCAGCTTGCAGCTCAGAGACGAGGTCCACACTGTCCGGCTCCTTCTCCTTCTCCTTCTCCTCAGTCCCAGGAACAGGCCCCCTGGCCCTTCGCAGCAGTGTACACTCTTCCTCCAGCCGACTCACCTTGAGCTTGAGCTGGTCCACCTGGACCCCAAGACATAGGTCAACCCAGAGAGGGACACACCAGGAGCGACAGCAAGGTCACCGGATGGGTGTGGGTTGGCCGTGCCCTCACTCCTGTTTGCCTCCCGATTCCCAGAGGGCTTGAGCGGGAGTCCTCTCCAGACTTGTCTGTGAAGGAGGGATAGGCTGGGCGTATAGGACGAATAGGGATGAGGAAGGAAAAGGGGCAGCAAGAATCTGCTCCAAGGACCTGTAGGCAGACGAGCTTTATCATAACATGCTTGTCCGTCCCACAACCCTGACACTGCAGCACGGTCCATTTAGCCCAGCACCCACGATGGAGGAGGAGGGCTGCAGCAAAGACCAGGGTCTGCCCAGCTCTGCCTCTAACTCAGCATGGCCTTGGGCAAGTCATGCCCATCTCTGTGCCTCAATCTCCTGATCTAGGAGGGGAGACATACGTTTGAGGTTCTCACCCAGCCCAGGAGCCAGGATGTCCCCCTCCAACCCAATGTCCCAGCTCAACACACACCCATGAAACAGATTTGGGTCTGATTCTTCCTGAAAGAAATTCTTAACAGAGCCTGAGCTCCAAAAGGTTAGGCTACTGATTCACCCCCCACAAGAGCTCCATGTCCAGGGTTCAGGTTTCAATTTTACCACTTTTAGTCTCTGCATTCTGAGTAAGTCACTTACTTCCGCAGGGTCTCAGGTTGCACATCAGTAAAATGCGCTCAGTCAATCCCTCTCCCCACAACCTGCCTCCCAAAGTTGTTGCAGGAATCAAACAAGACAGTGGGTGGACAGAGGCCTTTAAACTGTGGAAGGCAGGCTGGAGAGCTGCCACAGATAAGTCTTTACAACTTTAAATAAAATCCCAGAACCCTTACCAGTCGCCAGCTCAGTGTGTGCAGCCAAAGGCTGGCCAGGTGTGGTGGGTAGGCAGGTGTGTGATGGTCCCTGACTGAAAACAGATACGCATGGCAAGTTTGCTGGATTATGGGTATACTCGGCCAGAGTTATTCTCTAAATTCATGTAGGGTCTGAGGTGGCCAGACAGTAATAAGCATAGCAGCAGGTGGCAGGCCATAAATGAAGTCATTGTTGGGAAAAGGTCACAATGACCTCTGGTGCTACACTTAGGCATGCCAGCATCTGGTGCCCTAGGATTGCCCTAGCCTCTCTTGGAAAATGACTTGCTAGTCCCCCAGCCCTCAGAGCCTAGAATGGCACCACACACACACACACACACACACACGCACACGCACACGCACAAACACACACACACAGAGGGGTGTGCAGGCTGGGCAGGCAGTTCCACAAATTAACAGTCCACTCCTCCTCCGCAAAAGACAGAAATTCCTGACTCCCGCATTCCTTTCTGCTCACAAAACATGCTTTGTGAACCACTACAGAAAGACAGCTAGTTACAAGGACAAGTGTAGTCACACCCTCTCCAGCAAACCCCAGCCACACACCATGGCCCCTTGCCTGACCCATGGCCAGCCCACTTCCCCGATGAGCTCAGAGGACAGGGCACCTGGGAGTCTCCACCAAACACCAGGAAAGATGGATGCATTTAACCCTGGTGTACAAACTCACTTAGCACTAAATTATAGTGTTGGTACCTTAAGTTTATGTTACTTAGAAATAACAGCTCATTAAATTTGCACCTTATAAAACACGGTATTAAACACACACCTGTTCGTGGGTGGAGGGGACACAGGCTGCCAAGCCAGCCACTACCAGCTGTTCTGTTAATACCCCATCTACAACACCTTTGTTAATCTTGAAACAGAAAAGCACCAAAGAGTTAAGGCAAATTTACAGTACCTAAGTTTAACAAAATGTCACCTATTAATTTAATTTTACCCTTAGCCTCTACTTGCTAAAGTGGGCAAAAGCAGCCATGATCTGCCTAGTGGCAGATGACCTTTCCCCAGGTAGACATACTATGTGTACGTGCAGCTGATCTGCAGACACACAGAGGCACTCCAATGGCCTCTTCTCCAACCCCCTCCCTTGTCCCAGCATCCCCCAGAGAGCAGTACACACAGGACATCTCCCAGTCACATCTGCACACCCACCACTTAAAGGGACCCAACTCACAATCACAGCCAGCCCAAAGGCAAGTCATGCCATGCCAGCTGCAGCCTCTCCAACCCCCTGGCCAGAAGCCCTCACACTGTCCTCTCTGAGCTACAGATTCTTTCTTCTGAGAGAACCTCACAGCCAGCCCCATGTCTGTTTCAGAAAAAGAGGGGCCCTTCTTGGTGAAGACAAGGGACCCCAGTCTCCCCACCTGCCACCCACCACACCTCAGCAGTGCTGAGAGAAAAGTGGGAAATTCTTCACTCTCAGGACCCTGGGAAAGTGTTCTAACCAAACTCTCTGTAACTCAGTTTCCCCATCCAGAAATGGAGGAGACTGTAGCACCCACCCCAATATAGGGATGCTGGAAAATTAAAGGAGTTTGTGCATAGCAAGCACTTAGGACCATGCTTGGTACACCGGGTGCCTTATAATTGGTATATCATCCTCATCCATCACCTCCACTTTGAGGATGAGGAAACTGAGGCACAGTGCCACATGGTTCATTAGCAGCACAGCAGACCTGCATCCCTGGCCCTGCTTGCTACCCCTCATAAAGTCTCCATCTTATGCCAAACACCAAACGGGGCCCTGGACAACAGCTTCATGGTCACCTCACAATCTTGAACCAGCCACCTACACCCTCAAGCAGGAGTGGCAGCCTGGTCCCTTCAACTTGTGGGCTCAGCACCCCTGATCAGGGCTTACCTCCCAGTGTGCATAAACCCAGGCACTGGCACACTGGAGCACTCACACCCACCGCTTCACACCTACCAACTACCATCTACTGACACCGCCACCACCCACAACACTGCAGCCACAGCCGAGGCTCACAGGGTTAGGGGCTTCAAACCCCACGGTCACAATCCCTGTGGAACCTCGCACAGTATTACTGGAGAGAGGCTACCGTGTGCCCCCGGCACTGTTAAGCCCCTGATATGGATCAGCTCATTAAATCCTTGGGACGACTCCCTGCAGCAGCCAAATACCAGTTATCCCCATGCTAAGTCCCAATAAGAAACCAAGAAAGTGAGGCTCTGTTTCTCGGCCTGTAAGAGGCTTCACTTGCTGCTGGAGAGGATTAGGTGGGATTTCACTGGACGGGCAGCAGGCAGGACAGCATCATGGGAAGGATGCCAGCGCTGGCATCAGCCAGACCCCATTCAAATCCAGGCTGTGCTGCTTCCTGGCTTTGGACATTGAGCAAGTCCCTTCGCCAATCGGAGCCTCAGCTTCTGTACTTGGAAATGAGAACTTGGTGCATGGTGCTTTGATGAGGATTAGATGACGTGAGGCACGTAACCTGTGCGGCACACCAACAGCACTTGATAACAATATCAACACCAATGGCTAATGATGACATCTGTTTTAGCACTGTCTATGCCAGGCACTGTCCATGGCTCAAACTCTGTGTCCTTAACTCATTGAATCTGCATAACCCAAGGTTTCTCAGCCTCGGCACTACTGACATTTTGGGCTAGATAACTGTCGTGGGTGGCTGCCCTGTGCACTGTAGGATGTTTAGCAGTGTCCCTGGCCTCTACCCACTACATGCCAGTAGCACCCCCCTAGTTGTGAAAATCAAAAATGTTTCCAGACATGGATAAATGTTTCTGCATGGGCAAAATCACCCCGTTGAGAACCATAGCCATAACCAATGAGATAAGTGCACAGAGCTCTGAAAAGACAAGTCCATGGTCAACTAGCCAGCAACAGTAGTTAGAGGACACAAGCTGACTACCATATAACCATCACTTTTTGCAAAAGTTGCCCCTTCTTCACCCTCTCCTGCCCATCTCCCCAGGACCTACTGCCAGCTGCAGGTCACGGCTACGCAGCACAGCCGAGTTCTTCTCCTCACTGAGCTGTGCCAGGCGCATGGCGATCATGTAGTTCTCATCCTTGAGCCGCAGCAGCTCCAGGCTGCCCGCCTCCCAGTCCTCCCGCAGCCGCTGGCAGCGCTCCTGTGCCTGCTGCTGCTCCCGCAGCCGCTGCTCCAGCCGTGCCCGCTCCTCCTCGAGCACCCGGCCCCGAG